GTTTCTTAAAAAACGAATATTTAACAGTTCTAAAAGAAATACCTTCATTTTCCGCATGGCAAAAATGTCAATGTTTAAAATAAATCATGTAATGAGGTCAATAATATTAGAATGCAGCTGTTAAGGGAAAACACATATATAAAAGAGAATAAAATTATGTTTATGGTGGAAACACTGGCTAAAATCTAGAATATTATTTATTGTGGACATCGTAGACGCCAAAGGGGTTGTAGATGTAAATCGGGCAAAAGAATTACTTTGTATTAAAAATAACAATTTATGTGTGGTTAAATTACTTTGGAAGTGTATACCTCGTGACTGGAAAAGAAAATTAGAATGTGAAACTGTTTTTGGTTCATATAAAAATACACGTCTTCATTTTTTAGAATTGACACCAAAAATATGTCATAATATATCAGTTACAAAAACAAAAATGTCACACATTATATATAAGGTATTAGTTGATAAAACCTTTATAAATCCAAATATTCAAATCTATTGGGAATTTGTTTTTGGAAAAAAATGATCTTTGGCAAATATATGGAAAATGAATTTGACATACGTTAAGGAAAAACGAATAAAACAGTTTAATTTCAAACTACTCTATAAATTATTAGCATGTGAAGCATATCCATATCGTTTCAAAAGATCTGATCATGATTATTTTTTTAAGTGCAAATGCACAGAAAATTATTATCATTTATTTTATGACTGTGAGTACTCAAAAATAATTTTGGAACGAGGTTTTAATTTTTCTCAGAAAGACAGAAGTATTATTTGATAATGAAAAAATGAATATAGTGATATAATTGTAGGCACGCAATGTGATTATATACATTCAAAATATGTAGTTTTTAAAAATTAATTAATTAATTTAGCTTCTTATGTTTTATATACGCAAAAAAGAAAAGGTAATTTTAGAAAAATATTCGACATTTATTTAAAGGAAATATTATGGAGGGCAAATGTTGAACAGGATCATCTCTGGACAAAAATTTTGACTATGTTAAACAAAAAAGTATAATACATTTTGTGATATAAGTATAATTCATGTGTTTTCCTTTGTAATCGAGATAATTTTGTGTCTCCTATGTACGTATTATTATTCAGTTAATAAACGATGGGGGGAAAGGGAAAAGAAATAGCGCCTTCTCAAGTTCTGAAAACGGCTTCGTCTCTGTGGCCGTAGCTCCATTGTGCCTGGCCGTATTCCCTTACCCTTTTATATAATTTAGATACCGGGTACTTCAAGATAAGCCCTTGGCGAGATTTCATGTGCGTGATTGAGCAAAGAATAACAGATTCTCTGGCTTGGTTTTCAGTTCATAATAATCTTTTTTTTTAATGGAAAATTCTCTAGCTCTTTTAAAAAGTGGAATGAATAAAAAGGCTTTTAAGAGAGAGAGAGAGCAGAAATTCATGAAACAGGATGTTTTTTCGAAAGGAAAAATAAAAATGGGGACAAGAAAAAAAATATCATTATGACATTTTTTTTAAAGATCGAGCTTACTAAGGCGGGAGAAAAGATAAATCAATGAATAAAAGATCTGTTCATTATGTGGTTTTTCACCTCACCTAGCTGTTGAGTTATGTGGAGCGAATACAAAAGATAATTTGCTCTAAGAGATAGAACAGGACATCTGGCGAGATGTGCGTGATTGAACAGAGAATAAAAGATTCTCTGGCTTGGTTTTCAGTCAATAATAATCTTTTTAAAAAGGGGGAACTTTTTAGCTTTATCAAAAGGCTTTTAAAAGAGAAACCAGAAACTAATGAAACAGGAATTTTTCTAAAGGAAAAATGAAAGTAGGGGACAAGAAAATATTATTATCACATATATTTTTTTTTAAAGATCGAGCTAGTTAGGCAGGAGAAAAGATAAATCAATGAATAAAAGATCTGTTGATTACGAGGTTTTTTCACCTCACCTCGCTGTTGAGTTATGTGGAGCGAATACAAAATCAAGTTTGCTCTAAAAGATAGAGCAGGACATGTGCGTGATTGAACAGAGAACATAAGATTCTCTGGCTTGGTTTTCAGTCACTAATAATCTTTTTAAAAAGGGGGAAATTCTTTAGCTCTATCAAAAAGTGGAATGAATAAAAAGGCTTTTAAAAGAGAGAGAGCAGGAATTTGTGAAACAGGATGTTTTTTCGAAAGGAAAAATAAAAATGGGGACAAGAAAAAAATATCATTATGACATTTTTTTTTAAAGATCTAGCTTACTAAGGCAGGAGAAAAGATAAATCAATGAATAAAAGATCTGTTCATTATGTGGTTTTTCACCTCACCTAGCTGTTGAGTTATGTGGAGCGAATACAAAAGATAATTTGCTCTAAGAGATAGAACAGGACATCTGGCGAGATGTGCGTGATTGAACAGAGAATAAAAGATTCTCTGGCTTGGTTTTCAGTCAATAATAATCTTTTTAAAAAGGGGGAACTTTTTAGCTTTATCAAAAGGCTTTTAAAAGAGAAACCAGAAACTAATGAAACAGGAATTTTTCTAAAGGAAAAATGAAAGTAGGGGACAAGAAAATATTATTATCACATATATTTTTTTTTAAAGATCGAGCTAGTTAGGCAGGAGAAAAGATAAATCAATGAATAAAAGATCTGTTGATTACGAGGTTTTTTCACCTCACCTCGCTGTTGAGTTATGTGGAGCGAATACAAAATCAAGTTTGCTCTAAAAGATAGAGCAGGACATGTGCGTGATTGAACAGAGAACATAAGATTCTCTGGCTTGGTTTTCAGTCACTAATAATCTTTTTAAAAAGGGGAAATTCTTTAGCTCTATCAAAAAGTGGAATGAATAAAAAGGCTTTTAAAAGAGAGAGAGCAGGAATTTGTGAAACAGGATGTTTTTTCGAAAGGAAAAATAAAAATGGGGACAAGAAAAAAATATCATTATGACATTTTTTTTTAAAGATCTAGCTTACTAAGGCAGGAGAAAAGATAAATCAATGAATAAAAGATCTGTTCATTATGTGGTTTTTCACCTCACCTAGCTGTTGAGTTATGTGGAGCGAATACAAAAGATAATTTGCTCTAAGAGATAGAACAGGATATGTGGCGAGATGTGCGTGATTGAACAGAGAATAAAAGATTCTCTGGCTTGGTTTTCAGTCAATAATAATCTTTTTAAAAAGGGGAAACTTTTTAGCTTTATCAAAAGGCTTTTAAAAGAGAAACCAGGAACTAATGAAACTGGAATTTTTCCAAAGGAAAAATAAAAGTAGGGGACAAGAAAACATTATTATTATATTTTTTTTTTTAAAGATCGAGCTAGCTAGGCAGGAGAAAAGATAAATCAATGAATAAAAGATCGGTTCATGATGAGGTTTTTGACCTCACCTCGCTGTTGAGTTCTTAGGAGCGAGTATATTGTATACAGTGCGTATAAAAAAGGTGTATCCAACTTTGGTAGCTTCTAATTAAACATTACTAACCTGTGTGACCTTGAAGCATATTGTATCGTAAAGTCTAATGATACCATTTCCATAATTGTGCTGCCAAGGATAAACTAGCAGTCGGCTTTTCTGTCGAAATCTTATTGTACAAAGTTTGGGCTGAAGCAATGAATGTGGGCCAAAAGCCATTATGTTTGCGTTATCTCATTAAAAAAAAAGGTGTTAAAGGCCCACTGCACTACTTGTAGTTACTTGCGCCCTCTATATAACAAACCGTGCCTAATCGGTGACCATTGGTCCCCCATGATCCTCTTTTTCTTATGTTAACTGAGAGCTGAGTTGATGAGATAACCACCTGTCCAGTGACCTTGCAGGGCAGTCTAATCCCTCCTGTAAACTATGGCAGATACGCTTTAATATCAACTCAAACTCAAGGAAATGCATATTACAAGAAACATTTATGATATTCTTTTTGTAATGATGATTACAATCGACAGTCTTCCCTCTTTTGGACAAGAGTTCCATATGAACCCCCCCCCCCCCCCCTCCTAAAATTGAAAGAAAAAATAGATTTGACTCAGAGTGATATACCTGATAACAAATAATATATAAAACATGGAAATTAGGGTTAGAGTTAGGGTTAGGCTAAAAAATATCGACTCCGAAATAAGGCTCGAAACAGCGCCTCCTAGTGACCTACAAAATATAATCTAATCTACCTATAATTCAGTTACAAACCCCATCACCGTCCACGCTTCGTTACAGGTACATTGTGAGCGACACCGTCTGCAGTCCAATAGGATCATGTCGAGGATAAAGTCACGAGAGCTTCCAACAAAAAGTGAAATTCATAATCCTGTTTCTATTCTATGTTTCTAATTCTAATTCTCATCTTATCTTTATGTTCTCATTTTCATTCTCATGTTCTCATTCTCATGTTTAAATCACAGGAATACTTATTACTAATTGTTGAGACGACAAGTTAGGGACACAATCAGAGATAAAAAGAAATTTTGATTTCGTTTTTATTTAGCGGGAGGTACAAATTAATCTCTTTTCAAATAACAATGTGAAATATATGAAATATATACAGATATATGTATAGAGAATATATGTGCCAAAGATCTACTTTCTGGTGTGAAAGGTATAAATTGCCGGGATTCGGTGGAACCTGAGATGTAAAAAGAAGTGGCAAATTTGCATAATTTATGCTAATTAGTTATTTATAGCATCAAATTTGTGTGACCATTACCTTTCCTGGTATATAACAATTTCCATTCATATATAGTTTTGGAGGGTTATCTTTCAAACTTTATTAGGAAACAAATCAAATATCAGAACACTACCTGTTCCCTCTAACCCCCACCCCTTCCTAAATCAGTGGTCCGACCATAGACCTACTGAGGCTTCAGCGGCACTCGCTCCGGGATCATTGGATAAGGGTTATGCAAGGTTCAGGGTTAGGTGTTCGATCTACTAATGTTGTGATTTCATTCTCTCTCTCTCTCTCTCCCTCCCCTCCCCCTCCCCCTCTCTCTCTCTCTCTCTACCCCCCCCCCCCCCCCCCCCTCCTCTTGCAGTTTGAAGCATGGATGACGATGATCCAAGCTCTGATGAGTCCAGCAAGGGACGGACATCCCGCTACTCGGACGATAGCCTCCGTACCGAGGGAGACACACCTGCACCATCTGAACCTGGCTCATTGCTAAAGGTAACAAGCACGTTCGGAAAGACTTCAACAGAATTGACGTAAGGCAATTTCAATAGTCCAGCGCATCCCCTGTTGAAATGGGCGATCGATACAATGACATATTCCGTAATTAAATCCAGAGGGGCGAATTCAACATTTTGTAAAGAAGAGACACAACATTCCTGAGATACAAAATTCCAGCAGTCCTACATGTATGTCATCAAATTTCATTGTACATCTCCTTTTGCAGTTGGTGAGGTCTAGACGTCCTGACGTAGATAACGCAAGGAACCGTCTCAGTGATCTGACACCAGTTGGCGTCACTGAGGAGCTCAATGCCAAAGATAGCAGAGGCAACAGTGCCATCCACTATGCATGTATCAAGGGCCTGGTTCCATGGCTTGAACTTATCATAGAACAAGGTGGAGGTAAGTAGCCTCACTTCCATCGCAAACGTCTCATGATATATAGATATAGATATATACACATGTACATAATTTACATTCTTTGGGGAAGCGGGAAAGAGGCTCTTGTCTTTTCCGAAGGTTCGTTTGTCAATACCAAAGATCATAGAACATTGCGGAGATAAGTATGGTCACTCCGATGGTAAAAGTTTTCACTTGATAAATTGCGGTGGGGGAAGAGCGTGGTTCTCGTTTTTCGAAAGGTTCGTCCCGAAATTCCGAAACATTATTTGCAATGCCAGGTGGTTCATAATTTTGAAAATGGATTAGGGTTCAACATTCCAAAGAATCCTACAAGTATGAAAAGGAATACATCACAAGATTGGACCCAAACCATGTTAAAGTGACTCGGTAACATTGTTGAAGGTTGGAGAAAAAAAAAGCTAACTTTTTGTATGAAATGTTATTTTTTATATTCCTTCTTCTGTACTTAGCTTCTAACAGGAAAAAAATCCTGAACAAAGTTCTCACACCATTTGAGATATTTATGGTTTTCTTTGAAGGTGTCACTGTGCAATACCCTCTAACAGTCATTAAGAATAACTTCTCCCAACCTTTTTTTAACTTTCCTAACCGTTTTTCCTTGAAAATAAGACATAAAAATAGGTTATACAAAATATTTCAACACTTAAATGTCTGGAATGGTATATACAGCCAATTCATTGCTTTGTGGCGATTTACATTCACCTAAAATGTAATTAAATTGTAATAATATAGTTGGCAGAATTAAGGAATCGATCAGATCAGTTTTCCCTAATTTGTATCGTTAATAATGGTCAGTTTTCACTCAAACTTTCAGATTATCTTTAATTGTACATCTAGCATTGAAGTCACTTCCTTAGCACCATTTACTCTCTTCTGAAAAATGTTACTAAGTCCCTTTAATAGTCCTGTATATATCCATCTCTGTGTGCAGTGCATGATGATTTTCTGCAAGATGTTGTCAATTTCTTTCTCAAACCTTACATTATACATTAACATCATTATACGCCCTCAGTAAAGGAAATCTTTCGCAATTGTCCGATTGCTTCCAGATAGTTTCTTTCACATTGTAATATCATGACCTAGGCCCTGTATTATGTACATAGTTGCGATTGATGTCAATCGTAAATAAGTTACGATTAATAGCAAGTGTTCATAAGACGCTCCCCAGTATTCCACTTTATCTTTTATGATAGATGTTGATGTGAAGGGAGCAGGCGGTAGAAGGCCAATACATCTTGTAGTCAGGGACGAGGCAAGTAGTGAAACCCAGGTGAGTTTAAGGCCCGCCCCCCCCCCCCCCTCCACACTCAGAGGTCGGAATGACCGCATGCGTGTTGCCAAAATGTCCGGTAAAGGGGTACTTTTCGTGCGACAAAGTCCGGCCCGAGAATTGTAAAAAAAAGGGGTGTATTTGACTTTTCACCCGGAGATTTCTTTAAAAAGGGTTTTTTTTTTTTTTTCTCATCTCTTTGGACTCCTGAGAAATTATTCCGAATTTAGGGGGGTACATTCAGCATTTTTCCTGATTTAGGGGGGTCTCCAAGGCAGGAAAAGCCCGCGAAGTGCCCGCGAAAGGGGGGTTCGGAAATATTGGCAATCCTCAGATAGGGGGTGCTTTCAAAAAGAGGGAACGAGCATATGCGTACCCTAAATAACATTGAGTGGGGGGGCCGGGGTTTAAGGGCAAGTAATACTACTACTACTAATAATGATAATAAAAAAATTATATAGCGCAGCTTTTATACAAAATATGTTCAGCTGCGCTGGTTCAGAGCTCCTTTTGATATCTGGTATTTGATCATTTACTGGCTCATAATTATGTCACCCGAAGATTTGAGCCAAAGCCTAAACAAAAAAGTGTCATTTTTATTGATATTTGGTTATATCCAAGCTCTAGTATATAACGAGATAGGACAGTATGTCAGACGTGAAATGTCTTATTTCCAAGAACCATGATGACAGGCGCAGGTGAAGTCAAACTGATCGAACTTTTAGCATCTAAGACACTTTTTTAACGGTTTCCCTTGGGATTCACCCCCTCACATCTTGGGGGAAATGTGAAATGTGAAGTGTTTGCCCCCTACAACCCTGAAACATTGGGATTCATCCCTCCATTCCCGGAAAAAAACTTGAAGTGTAAAATGTATTTTAATTCTCAGGCACAGGATCAAGCTCTTGGCATCGAAGGGGCCACTATAAATGGTTTCCCCCGGATCCCTCACACAATCTTCAATTCAATTCAATTCGATTCATTTATTTTTCATCATTCAATTGTTCATTTTTACAATGATGATACATGTTTTCATATTCACATATTAATGTATTAATGTACATATAGATCAATTTGCACAATACAATACATTACACAAATAAACATAAAATTGAAAGGGAAGGAGGGCCGACTAAAAAGCAGAGCTTGTAAGGCGTAGGCCGCCCTGAAAAAGTAATTATTATGAATTACTATTTTATGAGACAAAAACACAACAACAATAACAATAACTGATTCAGTAATACAAAAATCATTTTTAAACGCAAAACGATGATAAAAAAGAAACAATCAAAGTTACACGAACATCAAAGTTGCATAAAGTCACACTACAAATTATATTTGATTGGGGAATGCAATAGCCTTTGAACAAATCAATCGAAAGAGTTACTTGTCAATTGCTTACCGAGGGGTATTCGCCCCTAGCTCCCAATATTGGAGGGAAAAAAAATTGAAAAGTAAACTGAGCGAACTATTGGAAGTATTTGTCAATGGTTTTACCCGCCCCTCCCAACCTTCAAAAAAGAAATTGACGGAAATTTAAATTTCGTTCTCTCATTAACAGGCACAGGACAAAGTCAAAATGATCGAGCTCTTGGCATCGAAAGGTGTTCTTGTTAATGAAAAGGACGATTTAGGCCAAACACCTCTCCAGTTGGCTTGTAATCATTCTGAATCGAGAGGACAAAAGATGGTGATCCAAGCTCTCCTGTCGCTTTCAGATATTAAAGTTGACGTATGTATCAAGATTGATATGTCACCTAAGCCTAATTTCGGCGGTTTTGTTTCATTTTTTTCTTTCTTATTTGTTTTGTTTTGTTTGTTCTTGATTTTTAGTTTTAGTTTTGTTTTTATTGTCGTGTTTATCAATGGCATGGAATGTGAGGTAAAATTATCTACGCGCAATAAATTCAAATTAAAGCTTATCAACACTAGTGTGGCTAGGAGGGATTAGACCACACAGCGAGGTCACTGACAGGTGGCTATCTCATCAACTCAGCTCTCAAATAACATAAGAAATAGAGGATCATGGGGGGCCAACAGGCACCGATTGGGAAGTTTTCTATATAAAGGGAGCAAGTAGCTACAAGTAGGACGGTGCGGCTTTAATTTTGAAGGGAAGGGTTTGAAATATTCTCTTGAGGTATACCTAATGTTGTGTACTTCCTTTCAGAAATTTTTCCATGGTGATAAACTGATCAATTCCTTCCCGACAAGACGAAACATTATGCACTCACCTTTTCTTACGCATTGAAATATTCACATGTATATAATTCATAGAGACGAGTCGAGCAGTACAATCCACGATCTCTAGCAAATGTTATGGGGGTGCAGAAGATTCTTGAAATGGTCTGTAGATGTAGGTGTCTGCACGCTAGTAATAATAGAGGTGCTGTGCTGTAGTAGTTAAGACGAGGCGTTGCGGTCTAGTAAATAAGCCACCAGCCGGTGAACCAAAAAGTACGGGGTTCGAATCCCTGCCATACAGCACTAACGGTCTTTGACCAGAAACTAATCTACATTTACTTAAAGGTAAAGACCAGTATTGAAAACACCCCAATCTAAAAAAAAATGAAATGGAAGCTCATATTACCAATCATGTGAAGGAATATGTTTTAACTAATACATGATGATACAAATTTTGCCGGGAAACCGCCTAATAATTGATATATTTGGTAAATTAGTTTATCTATTGTTATGTGAGAGATAAACGCACGTGTCGCGCACGTGTGCGTAGTCCCATATACATATTTCTGTGTACAGTGCTTGTAACCTTACGAAGACCTGGTTCAATTTTCTTATCATTTTGATTTTCTTATCATTTTGATGATTCCAGAACCTTGCAGTACACACCAATACTTATATGCTAGATGATCAACCTTTCCACAACGTTTCTTTCACAATGCAATCGCATGACCAGAACTGGTCTTAAAGGGGCATGTTCCCCGTATTCCAGAGGGCGTTCAAAATACGTACCCGCTGGCGGACGGTGCTAGCTGCCTATTGACATCAACAGAATACGGCTCTTACGCAGATGGCATGTTCCGAATGCCCGGACAATGCCGATTATATCGCATACATGTGCCGAAGTAATACCAATCGCATTTCGGCTCTAAGATTCGGCTGCTGTTTCCGCCCACTTTCGTGACGTCGCGATCGGCAGCAATCAGCTGTCTTGGCGAAGGCAGGCCAGGACGCGCGTACTTTGATTGACAGCTGTATGCAAATTAGAAGTCGACCTTCGGAACCAAGATGGCGATGACTAGAGCAGCGATAACTACACTGGCGGGAACATGCCCCTTTAAGTAAATGAGTATTGATAAGACATTATTACTTGAAGCTTCAGCGCCTTTATTAGGTTAATATAATTCAAAGCTCTTGAGAAGCGCTCAGAGGCATTGATAAATATTTGATATGCGCTGTATAGAATTATCATTATTATTAGTAATAGTAGGAGTAGTATAATCATATTGACTATTATCATAATTATTAATAATATGTTTTTTATTATTATTATTGTCATTATTATTATTATCATGATCATCATCATTATTAATACAATGATTATTAATTATTACCATAACCACCATTTGTTCATTTCACCACTGGTTAATTTCACAGGAACCTGTTAAGGTCGGCGGAGTTAACTCAACGCTTCTCAACATTGCATGCCATAATAATCATTTTGAAACGGCTCTACTTCTCGTCGACCACGGAGCCAATCCTCTCACAGAAGATGGGTCCAAGAACACCCCGCTCTTCATCATCCTCACCGAAAAAAATGTGAAGTTTGCCCTACGGTTCCTTACAACATGCGAGAAAAAGGGGTGCGACATGCGTGATGTAAGGGGACTTATTCGCACAATCCCTGTGATTAGGGGTGGATCTACGATTTTGAAAGAAAGGGGTCCTTAACCTAGACACTACACGTGACATACCAAAAAATAAGATGATAAAAGTACACCACCCTTCTCTTCATCATTTTTACAAAAATGTATATCAAGTATACCTTTAGCTACCTAACAACGTGCAAGAGAAATGGCTTCGACGTCATCTATTTCCACTTCTTCTTTTTCTTCTTAATATTGTTATTATTAGTAGTAGTAGTAGTGATATTATTATTATTATTGTATACTTTTTCCTTACACGCAGATCCTGTCGGTGAAGAACGTGTACGGAAAAACAGCACTCCATCATGCCATCAAGATAGGAAACGAGCCCCTTATCAAATACTGCTTGCCTTTTTGTAAGTATAACTTCCAATCACATATTCAAACACATTAATACAAAAATTAATGATTGGTATCAATATTCTATAACAGTCATTTATTAATATCATACCCTTGTTCAACCAGTGTAGTCTTAGCAATATGAGTTTGAGTTTGAGTTTGAGTTTATTAGTTTCACATTTCACATGCAGATAAAATACACATATTGCTCCGATTGTCTCATTTTCGCTCGCGTGAACATTGCCAGCACAAACCACTGACCTCTACCTTCTACACGGATCATCGCCCATTCCCATTCACTATACGTTACGTACTGAAAGGCTGTATTGTCTGACCGTTCATGAATATTCATGTTTTTGCTAAACTCGGCAAAATATTTGCTTTTTACTAAATGGAAAAATTACGGTGGGGGGTTGGATGAAATGGACATAATGAAATAGGCAGAAGTGATCTATGATAATTCATGCTTTTTATGTTTCGTGTGCTCGACCTATAATCTTCAAATCGCTTGGTAAACTGAGTCCAAAGTTAGACTTGTTTCACATGTGTATTATAGGCAATGACGAGCTTGCAACCTATTTTGAAAAATTACGGTGGGTGAACTTTCAAAAGTCAATGAGACATGAGGGCTCCAATGAAAGAGCTAGTGATAACGTACGTCGGGGTGGATGTGCTTTTCGTTTAAACAAAAATGAATTTTTAACGATTTAAAAAAAAAAACGTCCATAGGCTAACATGTTAGGCTGCTGACTCTGATCATGCTCTGACGATAGGGGGCGTTGTGAAATGAGACTAAACGGAGCCAAACGGAGCCACATCATTTTTATTTCTAGAAAAGAAGGAACTTTGCCATCTGTACAGAAAACAGTACATATGCTTAAAAATTACAGAGACGAGGAATACAAAATAGCCTTCAAAAAGGGGAAACTGGGGATGCACTTACAGAAATGGGAACAAATCGATGCATTTTTACTTTAATGGATGTGGGTATTATTATTATTAGTAGTATTATTAATTCTCTTTCGTGTACAGGTGGACAAACCGGAACAGGTTGCATGCAGTGTGTGTGTCGGCGTGAAGGGGGTAGGAGATGGGTGGGCTAGGGGAGGGGGGTGAAGAGTTTGTGTGGTGTGAGTTGAGGGAACATGTTGCATGCAGTGTGTGTTTGTGTTTGTATGTGTGTTTATGTGTGTGAAAGTGGGTGTGGTGTGGGTGGGCTAGAGGGGGGGGGGGGTGTGAGAGTGTTGTGATAGGATGGTAATATGTAACTTTAAACCTTCCTCTACTGTTATTTTGATTATACACTGTTACATGCAAGACTTTTTTTTTTCCCTTTTTTTTTCCTCTATGTTCATTGATTGATGTAACTTATGAAATGTCTTGTATCAAAAATCTTGTTTTATATTGCTTATCTTGATAATTTCTTGTTATGTGAATTTTTTGTTATGTGAAATTATGAGGAAGGAAATAAAATATCATTTAAAACAAAAAATATGGATAACAAAATATACGTAAAAGACATATTGTTTCATAAAAATGTTTATAGTAATCGACAAATTAATCAGACTACAAAATTACATATCATCCAATTTGTTCGACAACTATTAAAGGGATCGTTTAACAATTTAAAATCTGAGATACACGGTCCTACATGTTACCAGTGTCTGTGATATGGTGTAATATTGAAGCCCTAACAAAAATCGCGCTTCAAAATGATCAAGAAGTGCATCAAAAAAGTAAAAATCTTTGAGTGACCGGTTTTACCATACTCGTTTTCCCCCAATAGACTGTAGTGTTATGAAAACCGTTCCGCGAATGGTTTTCAAAATGTGTAATTCCAATCCAAGATTCAAGATCATTAATATCTTGATAATCAGACAGGCGATCGGCTTGTAAAAGTCATGGAGTTCCTGACTGACCTAAAGTTTTATAATTATCATTGCAGCATGAGCTAAATCAAGGATTATTTCTAAAGGATCTTAAGGCCCGGTCCCACTGCACTTACGGATGCAAAGAGGATGTAAAACGTAAACAAATCTTGCCATCCGTTGGAAAAAAGCTATGCATCCGTTGTGTACTCATTGCATACGTGTTTCATACGCTCTATCCATCGAGCATCCGTCCACTGTGATTTCATCCGCGCAAGAAGTTTTGAGCTGCACAAAACTTTTAGAACGGATGAACTTTCGCCGTGTACGATGTAAATCCGCGACAAATACGAGCAACAAACGTTCTATGTCCGTTATTACGTCCGCTGTATCCTCTCTGCATCCTCTGGGCATCCTCGCAACTCACATCCGCTGCAGCTGAAAACGGAAAGAGGGAGGAAAGATAAGGTACATGGAACGTCTATACATCGTTAGTAGCACGGAAATAGAAAGGATGTAAGCGTATGCATCTCGTATATAAAGTATTCAAAGCTGTCATCCACTTCCATCCGCTTTCATCCGCTAGGCTTCAGATGAACATCCGTTTAACATCCCCGCTACTTACTACCCACGTCCGTTATTTTCCGTTTTGTTTTCGCAAATTTTCGCAAAGTTTGTCCATTTCTGGAGCGGATGAAAACGGATGAAGCCACCCTCGAAATTTTGCTCGTCCGCTGTGTCCTTTATGCATACGTTTTGTGTCCATCGGCCAGTGGGACCGGGCCATAAGACAAAGTTACCGGATCCCTTTAAACCCAGACAAGAACATAACAAACTGTGAAGTGTACAGGAACCTATAGAAAAGCAGAGCTTGTACGGAATAGGTTCCTAGGAGACTTGAAAAAATGACAGGGGCAGAAAATGTTTACTTTAGAGAGACGTACATATTAAAAGTAAGATGGCAGTAATTTGACAAATAGTTTTTTTACGGGTGCAATAAAATAAACTACAGAAAAAAAAGTAAATACACTAAAACGAAGAGGAGTAACGAGCCAATAAGTAGCAGAGTGTGCACCTATTTCCACCACATGTTTGCACCACCTGGACGTTTATGTAACCGAACTCTAGAAGTCACGAATTATTCATTCCTTTCCTGATAAAATTCACTTATGTCACAGAAGCAAAAGAATGCCTTAAATTGCAAATGAATTGATAAAAACGGTACACGTTATAAGGAAAAGGAACATTATACATAATGTGTCTAATCTTCATTATTATTGTATGCATTCAACAAATGTAACTTTGAGGTTATATTTAAATTGATGAATAGAAGAAGGGTGAAATAAATCAGGATGAAGATATTTCCAGAAAGTAATGCTCTTCTTTACACACTAAGAAAAAATGTGCAAGTATGCACCTTTAGGAGTGCAAACCGATGCAACACTGGCAGCATCTTTATGGGTTCAATCCTGCACCCTTTAAGAGGGTGCCAGGTTGCACCTTTTATGAGACATGTTAGTACCCTTAATGGTTCAATCCTGCTCCAGTAGGGGTGCAAATTGATGCAATAGCAGCGCCTTTAGGGGTTCAATCCTGCACCCATCATCGAGGAATACTTGTGAAATTTGCTCGTACACAAATACATATTAAACATGCATGATGTTTCTTGGTTAGTAATCATATAATCAATATATCTATTGCTAAACCGTGAATGTAATTGTAACATGATCAGACAAAATAATCTATTGGTTAATGATTGCCGAAGGAAAATACAAATAACAAAATTGATGTGCATTGTCATAATTTGCCTAACAAATCACGATAAATGTATTTTTATGTGAACACGTGGAAGGTAATCATGAATATGCATTCAATATGCACATTTTTATTTTGCACCCTTTTTTGGTCGATATGGTTCATTTTTGTGGGAAGGGTGCAAAATCTTATATTGCACCCTTTTTTTAACCCCTTTTCCTTCAATAGGGTTCATTTTTATGTAAAGGGTGCACACTCTTATTTTGCACCCTTTTTTGCACCCTTTTTTCTTAGAGTGTAGGACCCCCCCCCCCCCCCCCCCCCCCCCCGATTCAGCAACAATTGCTCCTCGACAATTACCTACCGAATTCCTAACTTCAACCTGGACATAACTCTATTCCTATCTCTAACCCTAACCCCAACTTAAACCATAATGACGAAAGAAAGCCTGGAGCGAACATCGGGTCACCTTTGGTATGTTTTTGATTACTTCTAGTGGCTCCTGACGATGAAGTAGATGGACTAGAAGACCATGACTATCTTCTAGGCTTCAGGGCCAGGCACGATGCCAATGTGATGCATACAGTATGTATGAAAGGACACCTGGACTTGGCGATAATGATCCTCAAACTATGCCCCAAACTCCTGTACGAAAAGACTAATAAGGGATTGACGCCTCTTCACTATGCATGCAGTGAGAACTATCCAAAGCTGGTGGAAAAGATCTGCTCCGTGATGAAAAGGTAACTTTGAAGGGGTTACATGACAGTTATTCGAAGGTTCATTGATTCCATATATTTGTTTAATTCTGAAGGTCATTAACTACAAAGGTTCATGGTCTGGAGGTTCTCTTTTTTCTGTCCTTTTCCAATCTCTTTCCATCCCTCTATCTACCTCTTTCCGTCATCTGTCCATTTCTCCCTCTTTCCTTTTTGTTCTGTATCACCAGATGGTGATTAAAAGACTTTACAAGGCGTGAAGCATTTGCTTATCTTGGAGCTCCACCTGAAAAACAGTTTCGCATTATGCTTTTAATGTCAGTAAACTGAATAAATAGTATGTACTATATAATATGACTTTCAACAAAATTGTTCACAGGAAACTTAAGTAGCTTTATCCATCACCCACAGAAACGTGCAAACACTATTTCCTGATTTGATATGGGATATAGAAATATGGTATTGAAATTTCCTGTTGGATAGTTTTTGTAAGTCTATGCAACAAAATCATTTTATTTCTAATCAGAACTGAATAAATGAACAAAATTGAATGAAGTGAAAAGATGAATCATCGTCATTCTTGGTTGGGTTAGCTGCTTTTAGCATTTTTTCTGAATTAATTTCGAATTGGATGAGTCAAAAGAAAAATATTCGTGTTTTTTATTTAGTCATGCTAGAGAACTTCTAGGTGATCATGATGTAGACGTACATGTAGATGGAAGCCCCTCACTCGGACTGCTCAAATTCACAGCCTTGAGAGGGTCGAGTGATTGTCTGGTTGTTCTCCTGAGGCACGTGAAGGATCCACCCACTATACTGGAACTCCTAGAGTGGATCTCGGTCGAGAAGAACCTTTCCAAAGTCCTTAAGGTTTGTGTCTATTTTCCTTCAAAATGTTGCTTAAATAGGAACAGGGTATCGTTTCATGAAACTGTTTTAGGTACAAGTTCTCCGACATCCCATAGGAGCGCGTGTATAAGAATTCTCTGTTTTAATGGGATGTCGCAGAACTTGTGCTCGGACGGTGAAACGATGCCGTGTAGACAGTTTAGATCACACAGTTTGAGGTTCAAGTCCTGTCGCGGCACTTATGTCTTTTGTTTGGAAGGACATTAATCTACATTCGCCACTCTCCTCCTAGGTATTGTTACTGGGGGCTAGTATTCTACGAATGGTTTTTAGCTGGTCTATTAAGCTAAGGGTAAAATAGTACTTTGTAGGTGCTTGAGGCGGTTCTAAGACAATTACCCCCTGGAAAATCACCCCCGGAAAATTACCCCTCGGAGAACTACCCCCCGAGGATAATTACCCCCCGCCGGAAAATTACCCTCCAAGGACAACTACCCCCCGAGGACAATTAACCCCCCCCCCCCCCCAGGACAATTACGCCCCGAGTACAACTACCCCCCGAGGACAATTACCTCCCGAGGACAGTTACTCCCGAGGACAACTAACCCTAGGACAACTACCCCTCCCCCGAGGACAACTACCCCCGCAAAAGACGATCTGACACATTGAGAGATGGCTACGAGCTCATAAGATCCCATGCATGAACCCATATTCGTTTAAATACTATAGCACGTTATCTTCCTCACTCCTACACATTTTCCTTTAATTATGATTTATGCAACGCCAATGCGGCGGTTACTGATTTCCACGAAGGATGTAAGTTTTAGGTAATTGTCCAGCGCTTCTCAAAATGCATAGAAATACATTTCTCTGGAGCAGCGTTATTTCAACCTTGTTAGTCACAGTACCCTCTTAAGAAATGAAAAGTTTCTCCCAAATCGCAAAGTCTTCAGAGACTATTAATTTTGCATGACTCTGGCACTCGTCAAGTGCTATGTACACACGTATGGGCACATTTAGGAGTTCAAGGTAAAGACCAGTAATGGTCATGCGATTGCATTGTGAAAGAAACGTTGTGGAATCGATCAGAAAAGGTTGATCATCTAGCATCTAGCATCCGCAAGGTTCTGGAATCATCAAAATGATAAGAAATTTGGCCCATTCTTCGTAAAGTTACAAGCACTATACACAGAAAGATGTATATGGGACTACCCTATATCTCTCACAGTCCATGAGAGAAACAAATTTACCAAATATATGAATTAGTAGGCGGTTTCCCGGCAAATTTTTGGTCATCATGTATTAGTCAAAACATATTCTTTCACATGATTGGTAATGAGAGCTTCCATTTCAATTTTTGAAATTGGGGCGTTTCCAATACTGGTCTTTACCTTTAAAAAGGGAGAAGATATTTTCAAACCGGTACAAAAATTAGTTTGTCATCAACACACTAGAAACGATTTAAAGTACTGTATGCGGGCACCTTGCCGCCGAATGTACATGAATAAAAAGTGCTATATTCGGTCATGATCTTGATTCACGAATATGAGGATATTCGGGCCTCTCGTTGCCCTTATTTATCATGCTTTTGAATGTAATGAGTGTGGTAACAAAGTAATCTCGACATAAAAGATTTAATATATATTCGGGCGCCTTGCTGTCAAAATATTGTCAGCGAGCAAGGAAGTAAGAAATTCTATTATTTATTTAATTTAATTTTCTCATGTAATTACATACCGTTTCTAATATTTGTTTTTCACAAAATAAACGTTTTCCAAATGTAACCAACATTCTTCTGCGGCACCCCGGTTGAAAAACGCTGCGCTGGAGTTACAAAATCAAATGAGATGAATTACCAGAGAGCAAATATTTATTTTCTCTTTTTTTCTATGTCAAAATAATTTACCGTACAAGAAAACATATTATACTTCAGCATGGCAACATAAATATATAGATAACGTGAAGAAAACCTTAATTTTGGATCATGGATGAGGGCTCGTTATACAAACAAAGGCAAATACACGATCAGCTGATTAAAAAAGTTAAAGAGGAAGCATGAATGAAGTCTTACATATTAATTTCTTTGAGGTGCCATTGTTGGTGAGAGAGGCTGTAACGCGTACTCATCTGCGCGCAATATATTGTTAAATTTCTAAGAATTGTAATTTCTGTTCTTAATTTCTTAATGACAAAACTACGGGGGAATTGGTCAACTTCAACCCCCCCCCCCCCCCCCCACATCGAATTGAATAATTCAAAAGTCTGAAATGAACTTCAAAAATAACAAAGAAAATGGAGTTTCATGAAATGTTCTGTAAATGGCAATTTTGAAGAAGCTCGCATTATTTGTCACAGTGTTACATTTGTTTGACTTTGTACATAAATGCGTTTGATCTTTTGTCTCCCTTATCATTTTTAGGAGTTCCTGTACGAATTTGACAATATCGATGATGACGAAATACAGCGAATCACACTACGTTGTGCAGAAGAGGGAAAAACAGAGTAAGATTCATGGGGAGAAAAATGTTGAAACCACCAATATCGTATTCAGAACATGGCCTCAGGGTGGGCAAAAAATCCACAGGCTCCTGTGATTTAAACCATGGACCTACGGATAGCACATTTTGAGTGCCCTCGTTTGCATCCCGATGGGTTTTTTTTTTTTTTTTTTTTTTTTTTAATCATTTATTTTCCACAATAATAAAAGTACAAAGATGTACATTACATATAACAGATATATACATGTATATACAATAACAACAACAAATACCAAAACAAAATGTGAACATTTACAGTAACATTGACAAAGAGCATAAGTGATTGATTAAAGTGTAATGATATAGAACATGTTATTATTGCGGAGGGAGCCAACTGGAAGACAGGAAAATAGTCTTAAGTGCGTTGGCACCCATCATGATCAATTAAATATAATCTTAATACATTAAATAACAATTGAATAATTGCGTTAAACAAAAAAAAAGCAAAGTAAATTTGTATATAAAGAAAGAAAGGACGGGTTAAGAAGCTCTACTAACGTTGTAGTTGATTACGGTATGAATTTATCAAGTGTTTTTTTAGTTTGCGTTTGAAAGATTGGAGTGACACTGAGTTTTTTATTTCATTTGGTAAAGAACTCCACAGTTTTGGGCCGGTAAAAAATAAAGTAGATTTTGCATAGGATGTACGTATTTTGGGGAAATGAAAATCATTACAAGACCGAGTTTGATAAGAGTGAATACTTGCATTTATAGGAAATAGATCAGTAATATAACGAGGGAATAAGCGATTTTTACATTTATACATGAACATACCAGTTTGTAGCTGACAAATATCGGATAGGCTTAATACATTGAGCTTATGAAATAGCGGAGCAGAATGAGAGTTATACGAGGATTTTGATATCAGGCGAATGGCTTTTTTTTGTAGTTTAAAGACTCTATCAGAATATGACTTAGGACAGCCACCCCAATTTATATTACAGTATGATATGTGGGGTAGGAAAAGGGTATTGTAAATAGTAAGAAGAATTTTTTCGGGTAATAAATTGCGCAGGCGATATAGGATACCAACAACTTGAGAAATTTTAGAACAAACATCTCCTAAATGATATTTCCAAGACATGGATTCATCTATATGAACACCTAAAAATTTGGTATGATTTGTATGTAATAGTTGGGATTTGTCCATATGGATTCTTATATCATCAATATTATAATTCATATTGCTAAAAACCATATAGTTAGTTTTAGACATATTTATAATTAACTTATTACATTTTAACCACTGATATACATTTTGTAATTCTTTATTAAACGTGGTATTAATAAGGGGAATATCTTTATGGGTAAAAAAAATACTTGTATCGTCGGCAAACTGTATAAAACTTAGGACATTTGATGAACACTGAATATCATTTATGTAAATTAGAAATAATAATGGGCCGAGGATAGAACCCTGTGGAACCCCGCAAACAACATTGAGCATATTTGAGTCTGTAGAATTAATTGTAACATATTGTTTTCTATTGCTAAGATAATTTTCAATCCATTTATGGGGAACACCTCGTATGCCAATATGATATAATTTGTGCATTAAAATATTATGGTCTATTGTATCAAATGCTTTTGACATATCTAAAAATACACCGACTGTTGTTTTTTTAATTTCAATGGAATTTGTAATATCTTGAGTGAATTTTGTAATTGCTAATGATGTTGACAGACCCTCTCTAAATCCATATTGAGTGCTATTTAATAAGTTGTTGGAAGATAAAAAATTGGAAATTCTACTGAAAACACATTTTTCGATTATTTTTGAGAAAACAGTAAGTACAGAAATTGGTCTATAATTCGGGTTGTCATCAACATGACTTATTTTGTGGGGGTAAAAGGGGCAAGGCTTTTGAAATGTGTCTTTACTTCTTTCATTTCTGTGTGCAATCGATCACTTATTCCCTTTTAGCTAATAATATGACTAAGTTGGCTGCATTTTTTTTTATCTTCTTGGTCAGAAATCTGTCAAGAGGAATTGTTAAAAGCACACCTAGAATGTAGGCCTACCTATATGTTCATATTTTCATAATTATCACTACATCTCATTTTTACTTTATTCTTACTTGTGATCAACTGACATGAATTTACATGTTCCTGCAAAGTCTTGTATCTCTTGTCTCTTGTATAGGAGTCTTGAACAGTTCTTCGCTTGGTGCAAGGATGCTTCCCAATTCGAAGACGAACAAAATAACAATGTAATGCACCTGATTGCACAGGGAGGTCATCTGGATACTGCTGAAGCTATGCTGAAAAAGGACGGTGTTGAGTTCACAAAGTGGGGAAGGTTTGTTCAGGTGGTGTCTTGTAAGTGCGGTGGTCTAGTTGATTAGTACATGGACTTTGGAGCATAGGGTTCGAATCCCTGTCCCAGTATCCTCGGTAATTTGGATACGGCTAAAACTATGCTCAAGTAAGACAATATTGAGTTAAAAGGGGAGTATCTTTGGTCTAAAAGTGTCTTGGAAGTGTGGAGGTCTAGGTGGATAAGTCTATGTAACACACGGTTTGAGGTTCGAATCCCTGCCATGACACTTAATGGCGGTCATTTTGGATACGGATTCAGACAAATAGGGGCTTGACTATTTAACCCTAAAAAGACTGGGGCTGATTCGGCCCCCCACCCTCTATTTTCGCGATTACTCCGTAATACTTGAATATTTTACGGTGCCACTTCAATACTGTTTTCCTTAGAGTCTTGGGCATCTTTTAAAACATTTTTTCCAAAAATCTGTCTTACTGTTATAAAGTCACGTTACCTTTTGTCTATTCATGTCAGCCCGAAAATCGCTCACTTTCGTGATTTGTGTACAAAACATATGGAAATATCATTTTCCCCAAAACAGATAAAACAGATATTTTTTTTTTTTTATAATGTAGGTGTTTGTTTTGGGCGTCAAAATAGTTGAATTATAGTCAGAAATGAAATAATACAACAAAAACAATAACATTATAAGTTAAAAAACAAAGAAATACAGTTTTATAGCCATACTGTAAGTATTCCCATTTAGCATGGTGGATAAAACTTATTTCCTTCTCATTTGCATAAAACAATACAATATTTAAAGAATAATACAAAGAAAAACGAAGAAAAATTCAAAAAATATTTTGTTTGCATAATTAAATAGCTCTAATTAGCATATTATAATCAACAACAACAACAAAAAAATTGTGCAATTTTGTAGACCCCATAGACATCTATTACCATGCCAAATTTGGAGTCGATCGGAGTTTCGGTTGCCGATATCTTAACGTGCCCTTTTAGCCCCCCCCCCCCCCCCCCAATAGCTTTTCAGATTTTTTGTTTTTTTGTGTGTTAAAGCCCCACTGTCCTACTTGTAGCTACTTGCTCCCTCTATATAGAAAACTCCCCCAATCGGTGCCTGTTGGTCCCCCATGATCCTCTTTTTCTTATGTTAGTTAAGAGCTAAGTTAATGAGATAGCCACCTGTCAGTGACCTCGATGTGTGGTCTAATCCCTTCTGGCCCAGTAGTGTTGACGGTCTTTAAAGCTTGGTAAAAAAAAAAGGAAAAGTATCTTGCATGCAATATGTTTTCATTTTAAAAGGCTCAATATTATATTATTTGAGGCTTTTTCTTTCACCAGATCCAACCCTGACTCAACCACGAATAAGTTAGGAGAAACTCCACTTCACCTAGCCATCAAAGAAGGCCATAGAGAATTGACCAAACTTTTCTTGAAAGCCGACAAGTCATTGGCAGGTGAAAAGGATAAGTCTAACGTGAGTGTCTTTTCGATAATTCGTTTCTTTATGAGTTTGTGTATGTGTATGTGCGTAGAACACATTTGTTAATTATACACGATTGCACAGACTTTCGAAAAATCAGCCTTAGAATCAGCCTTAGAATCACCTACTAGAATGTGCGAACATTTATTTCGCAATATGTGCATGATTTCTGTGGTATATCCAATCGGGTATTGATTTCTCGAAGTTTCTATGATCGTGTTTGTTCCTTATTTCTTACGAAACAAAAGCATAGGCATTATTCATTATAGGCCCGCTCGAGTTCGAACACATGTATGCCACTCTCCCGACCCAAGTGTTAAATGAGTTCCGGTAAAAGCAAATGTATTGATGCTGTGAGCACTGAAGTCAAAATGCTAGCTCTATTCGGGGTAATATTGGGGGGGGGGGGCCTTGACCAACTTTCGTTGTAGATAAGAGCAAAGTTAATGTATACCCTGAATTATTATTATCGTCATCATCATCATCATCATCGTCGTCGTCGTCGTCGTCGATATCATTATTAACATTATTATCATTGCTATTTTAGTTGTTTTTGTTTTGAGTTGTTCGTGTTGTTGTGTTTACCATTATTATCATCAAATTATTAATAATTTTGCCATCGTTCTAGGTGACTCCACTTATGTATGCGTGTCGAAGAGGAGACCTGTTCAACGTTGACCTGCTTCTCAAACATAGTCAGAACGAGATCAAGTTCTTCGACTGCGATGACAACGGTTTGAATTGCCTCGACCACGCCATCAACAACGGTCACGAGTAGGTTTTTATCTCGGCATTGTTTCACGGAGCCCTAATTGTCTCGTATCGCTGACATCTTTAATATTGAAACGTGCGTTATTGTTATGTCAGAGGTTTTTATCTCGGCATTGTTTCACGGAGCCCTAATTGTCTCGTATCGCTGACATCTTATTGAAACGTGCGTTATTGTTATGTCAGAGGTTAATTTAGTATTAAGTTGAGAATAGTAGTAGAAGTAGTAGAAGTATTAGTAGTAGTAATAGTAGTGGTAGTAGGAGTAGTAGTATAAGTAGTAGTAGTAGAAGTAGTAGTAGTAGTAGTAGAAGTAGTAGTAGTAGTAGGAGGAGGAGGAGCAGTGGTTTTATGAACATGGCTCAAAATCATGAAACCAATGATGTAGGCCTAGCTCAAATCATTTTGTCTAACTGTTCACATGTATTTCAATAGGAGGGTAGCTGTGAAGTTGTTATCCCTGAAACATTGGCGCACACTTCTGACTCACTCAACAAAAGAAGGAGGCACCAAAACCACCCCAATGAGAAAAATCATCGAGAAAATGCCAGGTATCCCAATCTATTGTAGAGTAGTGGAGTAGTAGCGGTATCGAGGTCTAGTAGATTCATGACCGAACTGTGAGTTACATGGTTCACGGTTCTATCCAGGAGATAAATGGGTATCTGTGAGGATTGCCGAAAGCCAGTGTGACTCCTATTACCATTGCCCTGTATGTATGAACGGTATTTAAATGTAGAGATACTCCAAAAGAAGTAAAGATGGTGAGATAATCATAACATTGTAAAGCATGTTGGCGAATCCACTTCATGCGCTATATAAATAAGTATTATTGTTATTACTATTAATATTATTAATATTATTATTTGTATTATTTTTTATTATATTTATTATTACTAATGTTACCATCATCATTGTAACCATCACCATCACCACCACCACCGACATCACAATCATTTTAACTGACCCTTTCCTATCCTTTCAGGCGTTGGCAAGTTTGTCCTGGACAAATGCATAACAAGGCTTGGTACTGATTCCAAGAATAATTGTAAGATCAAGGTCGACTATGAGCTCCTGGAGGACTGGTTTTCACCTTGGATGGATGATTATCCTTTCTGGAAGAGTAATGATAGATAATATAATAATAGCGTAATTTTATAATTTAGACCAATGTACGGTTTAGTATTCATAAAGTAGCACAAGTGTATATCATGAAAATAAAATAGTCGCATTGGTATGTTGCATCATAGTCACGTTACATTGTAAAATATATTGATATAAGCTCTTGGGGGATATTAGCTCTTCGGGTGTTCACACTGTGCAGAATGTACAAAGGATTTGAAACGACTATCCATGCCCCCCACCCACACACACACACATACACACAAACATTACTACAGCATGGACCGTCATGTAATAACAATAATAATAATATGGTTATTTATATAGCGCCGGTATCCGTCAGGTTCTGACGCTCATGGCGCTTTACACATATTACCCTGGTCGTAGCCGAGCTGCCAAAGTAACTAGCGCTCAAGCATATAAGGTACCCATTTACACCTGGGTGGAAAGTGGCAAATGTAGATTAACGTCTTGCCAAGGAGATAAAATATGTTAAAGACCCCCCCCCCCCCCTACCAATCAATTACTGTGTCCCTAACAAACATTGGGGGAAAGGAGGGGGAAAGAAAAGAAGAAAGAAGGCCAACTATTAAATGGAACATGGTGGAAATGTCATGTGTACAAATTCTTAAAACTCATCAGTACTAGTGTAAAGGAGGAATTAGACCACACTGCAAGGTCACTTGACAGGTGGTTATCTCATCAACTCAGCTCTCAAATAACATAAGAAAAAGAGGATCCGATGGGGGACCAATGGTCACCGATTAGGCATTGTTTGTTATATAGAGGGCGCAAGTAGCTACAAGTAGTGCAGTGGGCCTTTAAGTGTAAATACTTTGATGATGTAATGATATATTTCAATATCATGATGTTTTAATATTCTGCGTACAAATTCTCTTAAAGGTAATACAAAGTTTTGGGAAATTTTGAAAATTGGGTGGATAGTGATTCTTATAATTTTGATATATTTGGATGCCCCTTTGGATGTATTATTTAAGCACTACAAAATTTAGCCCCTAAAACACTTCTGCTTTCGAGAAAAATTTATTATAAAAATGTTGATAAATTTCAAATAGCGACGGTACGGCCGTACAATGGTAGCTATGACCATGACAATCTCAGAATATGTAGTTGTGATATATAATTTCAAAACGGGTATAGCTAATCGGCCGATTTCAGTCAAGAAACATTGTTTTATAGCTTGATTAATATCTTGACCTTGAGAGGAAGCTATACAACATAAGAAGTTTATTATTTACAATTTCATAACTTTAGACTCGATTTCAACCGCGACAACGATCACTGAATATTGTAGGATCGCATTATGCTTCCAATATGTTCATTTGAACCAAATTCATGACCCCATACCAAAACTTTGTATTACCTTTAATATTATTATATTATAATCTGTTTCTCCGCATATTATCGGAGGAATTAAGGATGAGTAAAAATATTCCCTTTTTTCATCATTTTCCATTACACACTTTGGTTTGTGATTTCGTACAATCTTCGACTGCATTCCTTGTAGTTTTTGGTTCACATTGTAATATACTCTTGGACTTAAGCCGAACTCAACCTTTCTCTTCAAATTTCAGCTCGAGGCATATCTCTTGATACCACGTCAATGCTTGGGTTAGATATTATATTACATACATTTCGCCCAGACGACACGAGTAATGCCACAGGTGCACAGG